ACTGCCCAGGTGGGAGTGGAGCAGGGCATGGGAGGGACAGAGGGGTCTGGCCGCCCTGCCCCAGCGGCCCAGGGAAGGTCAGATAGCACCGCCTTGGCCCCAGGTCCCCAAGCTCAGTTTCATGGGGTCCTGAACACCATTCCCCCCACTCCGTGGGCTGCGAGAGGTTAGAGGGGGATGGAGGAACCCATCTTGAGCCAAAGGGTCCCAAGGAAATGCCGGACTTCCTCCTGACGTGAGCTTCCCACGTGGCCCTGAACCGGAAGGTCTGACTTTGGCCCTGCCTCCCCCTGGCCAGTGACGAGGCTGCGTCCTCGTGAGCCGCCAGATCTTCCTATTCAGTGCCACCCACCAACAGGTCACGCCACATAAGTACCTCGCTACCTACACATCAGTGTGTCCCTGAACTGTTAACCGCGTGCCCTCATCAGAGGGGCGGTGCCTAGCGGGCGAGGTGACACCCGCCAGGACATCTGCTTCCAAGTCTCTCACACACGTCGCCATGTGCCAGGGACCAGCGGACACAGGGAGACCGGACGCTGAGTATGTGCACAGCCGGACCAGATACAGTGCTTGTCTTCTGTAGGCCAAGGGTAGAGACGTTTGTGGAACAGTCCACCTGTGTCTACGGAGGAAGAGCGGGGTGGGGTGCAGGTAGCAGGAGTTTTTTGTGTGCGGATGAGGTGAGGGTGGGGCAGCTCAAGTCTGGGGGTTTCCTGCGATCACGGGTGGAGGCACCGCGGCGAGAGCTTTGCTCGGTGGGCGATGCTGCCCGTGGGACGTTACGGGAAATGGAGGTCTTGGAGGGCATTGGGAGGTGGAGAGAGAGTACGTGAACGCAGGGTGCGTACCCAGGAGTGAGAGGGCTGCTGTGCTACTCGAGGATTCTGGGAGAGACCGGAGTGAAGCTCGCCGGGAGGGGGAGCAACAGCAGAGACCCGAATAACTGAGAGTCCCTTGAGAATCAGTGGGGCACTGGGCTATGGGAGGGGGCGTTGTGAGAGGCCAGGTGGGGGGTGGCGGGGCTGTGGCAGAGTCGCAGGAATTCCCACAATGGAGTGTGTGGAGGGACCACACACCTGGTCTTTGCAGGTCTACCTGGAGACGGTGTTTTTCTTAAACCATCATTGCAGAACTTCATGATCTCGGGTGACGCACCACTGCCTCGCAGGGCACACGGGAGGGTCACCTGCACCAAGGGCCCAGGTACAGCACGCTGTACCTAAGGGGCTGCAGTTAGAGGTGGCAGGGGCTGCGGCTCTGGCGGAACTTAACAGGAAGCCTCCAGGAGGAGGACCCTGGTAACAGGAAGGTCTCCAGTGGTCGCCGCTTTTGTGCTTTCTGAGCTCGGGGTCTGTCTTTAGTGCACACTGAACACAGAGCGGCGTCCTCACTGGTGATCAGGGAGCTCCCCCGCGTCAGACAGACCGACACAGACACAGGGCCCAGGCGCCGGATGACCGTTAACCTGCTCGGTGCGCCCCACGGCATGGGGCCAGGGCCGCTGCTGCTCCTCTATTGAAGTGGGAGGAGGAAAAAAAACTCCCCATTTTAATAACTTTATTCCCTAAACTTCAAAAATGAAATTGCCAAGTTAAGAACTTGCCTTGAAAAAAAATTCTAATTTATTATAAAGAAGGTCCGGGGCTTGGGAATTTTTTTAATGCAGATTCCTAATTTTCCAAAGTGAGGTTCTCCTGTGCATTTGAATAGATTATGCTCAGTGCTGCTAGCCCTTAGCACAACGGGAACGTTATTAAAACGACTGCATGGGTCTCAGAGGGAGGGCTCCGCTTCTCGCTTCCTTTTTCATTTTGGGGACTTCATATCAGAGACCGTCCTGTCTGACTGCGGAGGAAATTGGGTTTCCGGGGAGGCGACCTGGAGATGTGCTCAGCTCTGCAGGCCTCGAGGAGACAAGTCGTGCTGAGTCCCCAGGTAATGAGATCAGACCTCAAGGAACGAGCAGGAAGCGGGGACCCTTTCCACAGGGCCTCGTGCGCCTGCCCCGCGCTCCCACTGGGCCCGGCTTTCCTGAGGACACCGCGTGTCAGAGAGTGGCCAGTCCTCCAGAATAATGAGCACTTGAGGGCCGAGGAGTAGGGCTTCCTCTGAGAAGCAGGCTCAGCCTCTTGACATCATAGTGCGAGGAAGGCGGGAGGACTGGAGCAAGTGCCCCCAGCAGGACTCTCACAGAGAAGACAGTCCTCTGCGCGAGCCACTCTCAGCAGCCCCCAAGAGCGGGGAGCGGGGCCCTCGGAGAGCCGGCTGGCCTCCAAGTCTAGCAGTGGCCCGAGAGACGGCCTTTCCAAACCGGGGGCCTGGGCCCTGGCCACCGCACCCACCACTGCCCTCCCACCCACTCCATTGCTGCCTGAACTCCTCCCACGATTCCCGCCCAGATCAGTTTCCTTGGGAACCAGCTCTGGCCCAGGGAAGCCCCATGGCAACCTAGCTATAGCCTGGTGGCCTAGCCAAGGCCATAAAGACCCCCGACCCCGGCCTGGTGACAACCATGGATGTGAGATTTCCTGTCAGAATCCTCATTCCTGGATATCTGGGGTCACAAACAGGTGTGTGGCTTCCCCAGGGCAAGCTCTTCCCCTGCTGCAAATGGGAGGGAGTTTTCTTTTTCTTGCCTTCCTCCCTTCCTTCCTTCCTTCCTTCCTTCCTTCCTTCCTTCCTTCCTTCTTTCCTTCCTTCCTTCCATCCTTCCTTCCTTCCTTCTTTCCTTCCTTCCTTCCATCCTTCCTTCCTTCCTTTCATCTTTCTATTCCCTTGCTGTAAATATTAGTTTCCTTCCTTCCTTCCTTCCTCCCTGCCTCTCTCCCTCCCTTCTCTTCCTTTTAATGTGAGTAGTGTCAATGGTGCAGTACCGGTGACCCTTTGCAGAGGAGAGCCTTGGGACGGTCCCTGTGCCAGGAAACTGGAGCCTCCCTTTCTCACTCAAAGGCCAGGACAGCTCAGCGGTGGCTTCCAGGGCGCTGAGTGCCTGAGCGCTGCTGCCCCCGCCCCCCACCCCATACCCTCCGTGGGCAGCCGGGATGTGGTAAGGCTCAGCTGTATTCGGAGGCTCCTCTACCAGACTGTACCTGAATCAGCATTCGTGGGCAACACAGGCCTTCCTGCGGCTCTCCTGCTCATCCCCAGCAAACACAAACTTCTCCCATCTGCCCAGACAGCAAAACACGTTGGGGGAGAGGGAGTAGCTCCCAGCTGCCAACCCAGTGCTCTCCGACCTCCTGGCCCCACCCTGCTCAGTCCCTGATCTTTGGGTGTGGGGGTGAGGGCCTTCGTGCCCACCGCCTGCTAAATGCAAGTGGTGTCCTCTTGCCGCTCCCACTGCTACTGTGGGTCTAGGGGAGCAGCATCCCGCCGAAGTTCCTGCCTGTTTACCAACACCCCTGGGCCCCCAACACTGCCTGAGTGGTGAGGGCACGGGTCCCATGCCTGCTGAGAAGGATGATGCTTGCCCCTGTTGTGGACCCTAGCTTCCCAGGTCTCCACCAGTCCCAGCCGCCTGTTCTTCGTTCTCTCTGCAGAGGGAGGGGGCCCAACTGTTGCTCGCCTGGAAGCTTTCACACAGCAGAGCTGTGTCAGTGCCAAGTCCGAGCTGGGGCGATCCGTGGAAAGCTCCTGTCAGGGCGGAGGGTTTGCTGGGCGTGAGAGCAGGTGGTGGGGGAGAGCCGGAAGGAGCCTGGAGTCGATATGTGGGAGCAGGGGTGGGAATGAAGGGAGGTGGGCTTGAAGGCAGGCTGGGAGTCAATGGGATTTCTTGCTGGACTCTCTGCAAAGTATAATCTCACAGGGAGGGACGCCAGGACCGGCAGAGTGACCACCACATGCTCCCTCCAGGCTGGGGTGTCGGGGCTCGAGGACCTCATGTGAGCCAAGGTCTGCCCGCCCTGCGACCGCCTCCAAGCACCCTGCCCTGCTGGGCAGAGCTCTGTGTGGGCCACCAGAGCAGCCGTGGGCAGAGCATGTGTGAGGGGGCCTCAGGGAGGGCAGAGGCGGGAAGGAGCGAGAAAGGCCGCCTGGCACACGGCACCGCCACGCATTTGTTCAGTGAGTGAATGAATAGTCTAGCCGGCTGCGTTTCACGTGACAGACACTCGATAAATAATTATTGAATTAACACTGACTTGTGAGACCAGGACAGAGAAAAAGGACAGTGGGAAGGTCAAGGTCAGCAGATGGAAGCCTCCGTGAAAGCAGAGCATCGAGACTAAGTCGGAGTCTCAGAAGAATGAACTGTGGGGTGAGGTGCACGTCGGGGAGGGAAGGGCAGAAGCGATCAGCGCAAGGACAGCAGGAGCCCCGCCCACGGGAGCTGGGCCTGGCTTCCAGGCAGAGGGGCGAGGCCACAGGAAGATGGGGACAGGATGCAGCCTTCCACAGGAGCTGTGGCCAGATGGGGGTCTCCACGGCACTGGGGGGCTGCTGTGTCTGAGCCGAGGGATGGAAACCGGGGACCCAAGGGAAGGGTAGGAGGGCGTAGAGAACCAGGCCTGGTCTTTTTCTGGGTAGAAGCTGAGCAAGTCCTGGAGGGAAGGGAAATTCTTCCAACAGGCAGGCAGAGAAGGGCGGACAGAGGGACTCTAGCGACCCTGAATGGGCAAGGGGGGCTGATACACAGGAGCCTCTAATTAAAAAGTGTCCCCAGACACTTGGAGGCAGACTCCCTGTACCTGTGTCTCCCCGAGCAAGGGGCTTGGAGTACTTGCCTGGTGGCCGCTGTGAGCGGAAGCAGACAAGGGCGGGGACAGCACCGTGGCTTGGCGCTCTAGGCAACGGTCCTAGTTGCTGGTGAGTTACCCAGGTGGGGTCTGAACCCTGTGCTTGTCAAATGCAACCACTCTCTTCCGGGGTCTGTGTTTGCCGGGTCCTCCCCAGAGACGCCTCCCCAGGCCTGACAGGGAAGAGCCCAGAGCGCACTGGACCCTGCCCTGGGCCCCTGCAAGGTGACCACCCCTCCCATTGGCTGGTGGACACTCACTCACCTGTGGACTGTCCTGGTAGGGTGGGGGAGGGACATTTTGCGTGGCCATCATCGTCAGAGCTGGGGCTGGGGAGGCATGTTGCATCATGGGATTGATTCACATCAAGGATCTGTGGCAGGAGAAAGGGGCCACACGTTAATACTGGGCACCGGGAGCCTGGGAACCAGCAGGTGGACATCTTCTCAGACTGGGTCACCTGGACTGACCAGACACAGCAAGGGATGAGAGCCCTTTAGGGGACCGACTGGGAGCTACGGGGAGAGGCCTGGGAGGGGCTTGCTGTGAGACGTGACTTGAAAGAAACGATATTCAAATCAGATGTAGGACAACCTGTACACAGCCATGCTCAGTTTAGCACCAGCTGGGGGTGGGGCTGGGGGGAGGAGCGGGGCAGGGCTGGTGGCAGCACTGGACGCACATTAAGACAAAGGTGCTTTCCCAGTCCCAGGCCTTCCGAGCAGCCAGCCATACTGTCTGGGCAGGGAGGCCTTGGGCCTTGGGCCTTCGCCCTTCCAGGCTGGTCCCCACCTCTCTGCCTGCTCCCAGGTGTGCTCACCACACCCCCTAGTGGTGGGAAGGGATATGGGGCTCCGGTCCCCTTCTCAGACTGGAGGGTGGAGGAGGCCGCCCAGGGACCTGGGAACACCTGAGGGCGTGGGGAGCGCCCAGCACCTGCGGGTCTTTCTACATGTGTGTTTGTGATTATGGGCATATGGAGGTGCTGCCCGTTCTGCGGAGGGAGACTTTCCTGCGGCTTCGCTCCACATGGAGTGATAGCCATGCAGGGCCAGAGGGGCCATCAGAGCCCACTTGTCCTCCCGCTTCTTCCAGAGGAGGAGACAGAGGCCAAGGGGAGTTTGGGGGTCGGGGTGCTACTGATCAGGGATGGAACCCAGGTCCCCAGGTTCCCAGTTCCTGGTCTGCTCCACTGCATCCCGATCCCCACCCCACAATGGGACAGCGAGCCCCCCGCTGGACCTCATGCCTTCTTCTTGACCCAGGACGTGCTGCCGTAAGTGGAGACAGCCTGGCATTACCCCTCCGCCCCCCGTAACAGGATGCCCGGAGAGCTGTTTAGCTCAGCAGGTGCCCTGAATGCTTAGAGCTGGGAACCAAAGGCTAGCTTCCTGATACAGGCCTGTCACTGTGGGGCCTGGAGAAGCCTGAGAGTTTCTGTGGGTGCAGGACCTGTCCCCCAGGGGAGGGTGCTGACGAGCTGAAGACCTTCGTGACCCGAACACTCAGACATCCTTCTCCTCACTGCCCCCTCCCACCGCCCTCCCCAGGGTCTTTCAGAATGTGCACCGCCTGAATTCTGGGGGAGTCTGAGGGTGTTCTGGAGCTGCCCGATAAAGGGGAGTGTCTCTAGGGTGCCATGTAGTGTGTGTGTGGTGGGGGGGTTCTTTTTCAGGAAGAGGAGAAAAGGTCAGTTCTGGCTGACCCCAGTCTCCGAGGGGCTGGGTCTGCTTTGACCCTAAGTGCACACGCAAAAGCACCGCAAGTCCAGGGTGCCACTCAAATAAAACCGATAAATGTCAGCCGCGTGCAAGGAGTGGTGCCGGGGGACGAGGGACAGTGGGAGGGGGCCAGGTCTTCTCTGTGAGGCGCCTTGTGAGTACAGGCAGGTGACAGTCCAGCAGGAAAGGGGAACGCAGGTAGGGGGGCAGCTTTTCCTGTGAAGCCTCTGCTGCTTACTCCCCGCCCCCACCTTACTGCAGAAGACGGCCACCAGCGTGCTTCTGCAACAGAGGTGCCCAGGGTCGCCCTGCCTCACTGGGCACTGAGACCCAGATCCGAGAAGAGGCTCCGAGGGGCCCTGAGAGGAGCCCCATCCCCGGGAAGGGAGCTGATGCCCATTTATGTGTCAGGCTTTCGTCTGGGAGGCGGTAAACATTCCAGGAAGGCCAGGGTGGAGGGGAAGTTTCCAGAAGGGAAAAGAAGATGTAGGCTCCTTGAGCAGGGTGTAGGCTGCTTTCAAACTTCCCGAATTAAGGCTTTGGAGAGACTCCAATGGGTGCGGAATCTCTCTCTTTTGGACCCTGAGGGAATAAAGACAATAGGGGGTGTCAGGGGTGCGTTAGGCTCAGCCTTTCCTGGGACTCTGGCAGATGAGGTAACTTGTTGGGCCTACAGGTCCTGAAGGCAGATCCCTTCTGGGGACCCTGATGTCAGATGCTCCTTTGCCTGAAGAAAGTGAACCTCCGTGGGGCTGTAGTGCCAGTAGCCTCCAGCAGAGGGAGCCTGGGGGCAGAATCTGGGGTGGGAGCTCAACAGGCGGTTTTAGGGGCAACTAGTTCCCTCCAACGCGAGGTCTGGGTCGTTCTGCATACTCATTCCAGGACAAAAAAGTCCCAGGGAAGGCAAAGTGGAGGAAGTGCAAAAAGAGGAGGATTTGGGCTGAAGGGAGGAGCCTTTAATCTGCATTCTTTTGTTCGCCGTCCAAGGACTGGGAGGTCAGGTCACTGCAGAGTCACTGTCCCTAGAAATATTTGCAGCAGCAGGGGCTGCCCTGCCTGGGGGTGAGGAGGGGCGGTGAGAGTGCTCTGCGCCCAGAAACAGCCACTGCACAGCTGAGAGGAGGTTTTCCAGTCCGGAGCCGCCTGCCTCAGAGGACGCAGGAAAATTTTCCAAGGATCCAGATGGCCTTTGCCCCTCCCCCTCTCCGGGGTCACCACAGGCCACTAGACCACTGCCCCATTGCCCTCTGAGGGCTTCTCCTGCAAGAGAACAGAAGGCCTTTTCATCAGGGGCTTAAGTTTCCTTCTCTGCTCACTCAGGCACAGCAGCCCCTGGTCACCTGGCACTGCAAAGACCTGCTGTCCTCACCTTCCTCTTCTTCTTCTAATCTGCACCCGAGGACATATATTTACTGATTTTAGAAAGGAAGGGAGGGAGAGAGAGAGAAACATTGATCACCACCCCCCCATCTAGTATGTGCCCTGGCAGGGGATCGAACCTGCAACCTAGGTATGTGCCCTGACCGAGGATGGAACCCACAACCTTTTGGCGCACAGGATGACCCTCCAACCGACTGAGCACCTGGCCAGGGCAGGTGCCCACCTTCTTTCTTCACCAGCTCCCAGCACACACAAACTGCCCCATCCTCGGGAAAGCCCACCATCTAGGCGTGGGGCTTGAGGGGCCATGCAGAACCATCTGGAGAAGAATGTGGGATCTGACTTGTCTTGCCTGAGACCCCACAGATGGGGTGTGGGGAGCTCCTTGAGCAACTTCTGGGTACCCAGCCCTTTGGGGAAGCCCACCCTTTCCGCACTTTCTCTGGGAGCCGGGAGGGGAGCAGCAGGCGGCCTCTGAGCCCATGGCAGGGGCCGGGAGAGGCTGCGCTGCCCTGTCCAGAGGCCCCAGTGCTCTGTTACCAGACACCAGGGTGCTCGAGGGCACACGGCCAAGGCTGCAAATGGAGAACATGCCGGGAGCCATTTACCACAGGGAAATTTCCCGTGGAGGACAGGCTTCTGTCGCAAGATTGCTTTTAATGCTGAAAACCTTTATTATGTGATAGCTGGGGGGGAAGAAAAAAACACCCTCATGCAACAGCCCCACATGATATCCAAGGAGAAATAATTTGTGTCACTGATATTATCATCAAAAGGAGCTACAAATGCCATTTTCCAGCTCCGGGAACCAGTGAGGCAGCCTGCCTGGGCTGGGGTGGGGGAGGGGCCAGGGAGGACACAGCTTTTGGAGGTAGGGATGGGCAGCTGTCCGTCTCCCCAGTTCTCTAGCTCCCCCAGTGAGGTCCTCAGGCTGGAGCCCAGACTGCAGCCTGTAGACCAACAGGCTTAGAAACAAAAGACCAAGCTCGTTAGGAAGGAGCTCATTAGGACTTGTTGACATGAAACCCATTAGACCAATTAACATTCCATTAACTGTGGGGGCACGGAGGGGTTAATGCTGCCCCCAGTAATTGGGCTAGGGTCCTGGGGTTGGGGGGCTCAGGGCCTTAAGGATGAGAAACAAACTCTAATTGGGAACTCTCTGGCCAGCTGGCCGCATCGCATCTGTTCCTGCTCCGGACCCTAGCTGAGTCCACTTAGCCTCCGGCTGAAGTGGAGAGGGGAGGATGGGCCGGCTGCCCTGTGGCTCTCCGCTGTCCCACCCCCTTGCTCCAGACGGGCGCCTGGCACAAGGACAAGGTGGGCAGTATTTCCACCCTCTCGGACCCTGCGGGTCATGCTTTCTTCATCCAGCCCCTCCCTTCTGGACCAGTTTCTTATTCCCGGGGAAGTCAGTCCCTTCTCCTCTCAGTTGGATGTGACCCTCCTCTCACCAAAACTCTTTGGAAGAGCTAGAATCTTTGAGGCCCAGAGTCTAATTCATTTGGGGAGTGTTGTAGGTTAGGGCAGAGGGATGGGGCAGGGCCAGCCAGCCTCCCCCCCGCCCCACTCCGTCCTTCCCTCCCCAGCATGGCAGCTGAGAGGCACTGCCCAGGGTCCCTCAGGAGCCCTTCTCTTCTGCCTCTGACACACTAGCAGTATTTTCATTACTTTCCTCCCCTTGCTACAAGCAGAGGCTGCAGAAGTCCCATTCTCTGTCCGGGCCTCAATCTCCTCATCTGGAAACTCCCCAGTTGCAAGCCTGTGCTTAGGGTCCAAACATCTGGATTCCACACCCAGCTCTGCCCCTTATGTGTGGCCTGCACACGTCACTGTCCCTCTCCAACTGCAAAATGAGGGATTTCACCAGGATGTTCTGAAAAGTCTTTGCCCATGGTTAGCAAGCCTAGAATGGACTAGAAACCGTTGGGTGAGGCTTGGGATTGAGGGACGGAGGCCCCTGAGGTCCGAGGGAGCCCTCCTCTGCCCCAGCCCGCAGCCCCCAGGTGGTTAAGTTACCACAGCTCCCCCCCCCACCCCCCAGGCCAGCCCCTCTGAGCAGCTGCTCAGGCCGGGGTTCTGACGTCTAGACAGATTTGCAGGAGGCTGAAATAACACAATGAACTCAGCAGGAGAGACCAAAAGGCTGCATTAGTAACCAGGCTGGCTTCAACCTCTCCCTCCGGAGCAACCGCCTCAACCTGGTGCAAGCCGTTTATTTTCCTTCCGCCTAGAGAGCTCGGTCCACAATGCTGGTCTCTCGGGCCCAGCG